CAGAGTTCTCGACATGAGCGACAGTGCAGCCGCCGAAACGGCTCCTCCAACCTCTGCCAGCACCAAACTCAAGATTCCCAAGAAGAAGAAGGCGGCGTCTCCCAGGAAAAAACCAGCCGGTCCCGGGTTGGGCGAGCGGATTGTGAAGATTGTCGGGGAGAGCAGCGATCGGAAGGGGACGTCTCTGGCCGCTATAAAGAAGGCGCTGCAGAGAAGCGGCGTCAATGTGGAGAAGCAAAATGCACAGATCAGGATGGCTGTCAAGAGGTGTCTGCCGAAAGGCTCCTTAGTTCTGGTCAAGGGCCAGGGCGTCTCCGGCTCCTTCAAACTCCCAACGAATCCAGTCACGGCAAAAGTGGGAAAGAAGGCGAGACCAGCAGCATCCGCCAAGAAACCAGCCGTGAAGAAAACAACGGCCAAGAAGGTGACAGCGAAGAAATCCCCAGCTAAGAAAGCGGCCGTCAAGAAGGCAGCAACGCCGAAGAAAGCGGTGAAGAAAGCAGCGCCTAAGAAAAAGACTCCCGTGAAGAAGGTGAAAAAGATCAAGAGCCCCAAGGCCGCAAAACCGGTCCCGAAATCGGGTAAACCGAAGGCCAAGCCCAAAGCGAAAGTGACCAAGAAAGCAGCAAAGAAATGAAGCAGTCTGTGCAACATGTAACCACCTGAACACAAAGGCTCTTCTCAGAGCCACCCATATCTCTCAGGAAAGAGCTGAGCCCGGATCAAATGATCCCTGTCCCATCTCCGAGTGCAGGGTAAATTATATATTAATTAATGTGAGTAACTCGTCCACATTTCTCTGCCAGATTTACACCCAGTCTCTCTCCCATAGTCTACAATAAATCAGTATTAGGCCCACATCATACTGCCCATAGGTTCGGGTGCAGTTTCATTTCATGTCCGTCTGCTTTTCACATATTCAGGGAGAGTCTCTGAGAGGAACACTGGGCCAGAAACCCCGCTTCGCAACACAATCCCCAAGAAATGATTTTCTCCCATTCAGCTAAAGGAATAGAAACTGACATTGAATTGGAAGCAACCGTGTGTTGTCTCGTTAAGAAAGGCCGGGACATGGCCGTTTAATTGTGTCGCAACTGCTTTTAAAAGTTCCAGGTTTTGTTATCTTTGAACATGAAGCTTGAGTCTGTATGTTTTTTGACGGGCCTTATGTTCACAGCCCTTGTGGAGAAAAGGTTGAGTTCCAGATTCATTTGGGGGCTGGAGTTAGCTGGAGGCGGAGCTGGATATTTCTCTGTCCGTCACTCAGTTTCCTGCCCGGGCCGCCTCTCACTCTGTGTCAGCTGTTTCTCAGTCAGGCCGGGGCGGGCTGTATAAAAAAGGAAGGTGAGGCAGCGCGAATCGCATTCGGCAGCGATTGGAGTGAAGAAGCGTGATGTCTGGAAGAGGCAAAGGAGGCAAAGGCCTGGGGAAAGGCGGAGCGAAGCGGCACCGGAAAGTGCTCCGTGATAACATCGAGGGCATCACGAAACCAGCCATCCGGCGCCTGGCTCGCCGTGGTGGGGTCAAGCGCATCTCGGGCTTGATCTACGAGGAGACCCGCGGGGTGCTGAAGGTTTTCCTGGAGAATGTGACCAGGGATGCGGTCACCTACACTGGGCACGCCAAGCGCAAGACGGTCACTGCCATGGATGTGGTGTACGCTCTGAAACGCCAGGGCCGCACTCTCTATGGGTTCGGCGGCTGAGCAAATCGACCCTTTTCCAGCGAACCAAAAGGCTCTTTTCAGAACCACCCAAACCCTCCAAGTGAGAGCGGAGACCTGAGCACAGGAAAGGCAGCACATAGAGAGGGTGTAGTGTACCGCAGCTGGTTATTCCATATCTCGAATTGTAATTCTGTCCTGACGCGAAATGTTACAGATTGCAGTATTTCTATTTCATTCCTTCCAGGAATGATATTCAGTTCAGTTTTCATTCAGGGAAGCCTGCAGATGTTTTAATGGCCTCTTATTACACTCTCTCTGTTGCAGTTTTCGGACTAATTCTAACTGGGTGAAAGAAAAATGAGCCGATAAATTGAGATTGTGTAACTTTTTTTAGCGTGCACTGTTAGCTTTGAAGATGCTTAAATCGGCGGTGTTATTTAGATTCATTCACGGAGGTGACACGGCCGGTTGATTAGTTTGAGATAACAAGGTGTGGAGCTGGATGAACACAGCAGGCCAAGCAGCATCAGAGGAGCAGGAAGGCTGACGTTTCGGGCCTCGACCCTTCTTCAGAAGTCTGGGCTGTGTTAAAACCCCGCGCTTTCCTCCTACCTGTTACGGGCAGATCAGGCAATGATCCCGCGTCCTGTCCGCGTTAACTGCAAGTTAGGTTTAAAAAGAAATCCCACAAAGTACAGATTTTATCGTCGTTGGACTTTACTTTATTTTGCATTTAAAGACAACTTAATTTCAGGATTGCGAGGGTAAAATCGGCGCGCTTTTTGAAATTGACAAACTGTCATTTCAAGTTAACCAATCAGACTCCAACAACTATTTTATTGCCTTTTCTGTACCTTCCGCAGCTGTTTCTCAGTTGGTTGAGGGACGGGACTGTATCCATTCCCAGCTCTAAGGCGGGATCTTCAATTCTCTTAAATAGGCAGCACCGCCACAGGCTCAGCATTGATAGCAGCAGCGTGTAAGTGTGTTGTAGAGAATTGAAGGGAATGGCCAGAACCAAGCAGACAGCGCGTAAATCCACTGGAGGGAAAGCTCCCCGCAAGCAGCTGGCGACCAAAGCGGCCCGCAAGAGCGCTCCGGCCACGGGCGGGGTGAAAAAGCCTCATCGCTACAGGCCTGGCACGGTAGCTCTGCGGGAGATCCGCCGCTACCAGAAATCCACCGAGCTGCTGATCCGCAAACTGCCCTTCCAGCGCCTGGTGCGGGAGATCGCTCAGGACTTCAAGACTGACCTGCGGTTCCAGAGCTCGGCCGTGATGGCCCTGCAGGAGGCCAGCGAGGCTTACCTGGTGGGGCTGTTTGAGGACACCAACCTGTGTGCCATCCATGCCAAGCGAGTCACCATCATGCCGAAAGACATCCAGCTGGCCCGCCGGATTCGCGGGGAGCGCGCCTAAACGGAGCGTGCCTGGCCCTGCACGTTAACCCCGAGAAACCCAACGGCTTTTTTCAGAGCCACTAAGCTACCCACAAAGAGCCGAACTGACGCATGATGTGCGTTTCGTTGTTATATTTCCATATCTTACCATTATTGCACCGGGCTAATTCAGCTGTAATTGCAGGAACTGCATCTGGCTGAAGAAAACACAAGTGCGTAGGACTGATACATTTGTGTTATTTAAATTAAAACTCAATAAGTGTATTTTAATTATAAATTGAGGTTTAAATTAGTCACAAAATAATTGAAGTACGGCATCCCTGTATGCAAATTAGAAATTCACGACAAAACCTCTGCTTTTTGCTTCCCTTGGCCTTTCCTCGAGCTCTACTTTCAGCCTCCTGTTTGTTTACCTTGGATTCCAGCATCTGCTGTTTCTTTTTTCTGATAACTGTGACCATGGCTGAGAAGGAGGGCAGGGAAAATGGCGCCAAATCGTTAAACGCTTTCTTACAAATTTGAAAATCCCGCCAATACGTAGAAACCATGAGGCGGTTTTCGACAGAAGAGTGCAAGTGTACTTAACGAGTTGATTTGATTTTCAGATTACAAAATCTGTACTTCACACAATTTGTTTCCTCATTCCACAAGAGGCTTCTCTCTCACTCTCTCTCTGTCTCGCTACTGTGTTGCTTTAAATGACTTTTTTTTAGAATCTCCTCGGATTATTCTTACCGCTATCTCATATCCCCTCTTTGCCCTCCGGATCTCCCTCTTCAGAATGCACCTAATCTTTTTATACTGTTCAAGAGATTCAGTTAAACCTCATTTTCAATATCTAATTTTTTTTTTCTATTCTCAACGTCGAACCTTAATAATCTAATTCAACGATTGCTCATTAATCCTACTTTGGTAGATGTTCTTCGGAACGTTTGCTCAGATTCGATCAATCAAACGGTCTCTTTCTGCTGTGTTTAGATTCCATGAACGTGCTTCCTGATCGATGTATTGATAGGGACACCGTCTTTTCATTAGTTTTAAAGTCTCCCTCCCTTATTCCAGTTTACACCTAACTGCTGTAACTATTGAAGATATTTCTTCACAATTGTCCAGTGAAAATATGTGGGTTGAAATTAGAAAAAGGAAAGGAATGATCACCTTGATGAGATTGTATTAATAGGCCCCACAATAGTCAGATGGACATTGACGAACATATATGTAGAGACATCTCAGACATAAGTAAGGATAATAATGTTGTAATAGGTGATTTTAATTTTCCAAAGGTTGAGTGGGACTACACTAGTTCCACAGGTTTGGATAGTGAAGAACTTGCTAATTGTGTTCAAGAAAGTTTTTAAAAAAACGTTTTCTTCAGTAATGGGGCAGGGTGAGTGATTGATGAGATAGTGCAGGAACACTTTGGGTCTATGATGGTAATTTTATTAGCTTTAAACTAGTTATGAAAAAGATAATACTTCCTTGAAAGTTAAAATTTTTAATTGAAGTAAGGCAAATATTAATGGTATGAGACAAGAACTTTCAAAAGTCATTCAATAGAATTCCTATAGTGTGGAAACAGCAACTTGGCCCAACAAGTCCACACCGTCCTCCAAGAGCATCCCACTCAGACTCATTCCCCTATCTAACCCACCGAACCTAAACATCCCTGGGCACAATGGGCAATTTTAGCTTGGCCAATCCACCTACCCTGCACATCTTTGGACCGTGGGAGGAAACCAGAGCACCTGGAGGAAACCCACGCAGATATGGGGAGAATGCAAACTCTCACACAGACACTCGCCCAAGGCTGGAATCGCACCCAGGTCCCTTGTGCTCTGAAGTGCTAACCACTGTGCCACCCATTGGTAGTAGAGTGTTCACAGGTAAGGGGATGTCTGATAAGTGGAAGGCATTCACAAGTGTCATATGAAAGTTCAGAGTTAATATGATCGTCTTAGACTAAAAGGTAAGCTGGCAGGATAAAGGAACAATGGATTAATAAAGATATTGAGGTTCTCGTTGGGAATACAAAAGAAATCGTATTAGATAGAGACAACTGGGTCCAAATGAGTGTAGAGACAGGAGGAAAAAAAATGACCTTTTCATCAGTAATACGGCAGGGCTAGTTACTGATGTGATAGTGAGGGAGCACTATGGAGTGTAGGGGCATTCTGAAGAGATCAGGAAAGCAAAGAGGGGATTCAAGATAGCTTTAGTGTAAAAGTTTAGGATAATCCAAAGAGATTCTGCAAGATCATTAAAAGCAAGCGAGTGATTAGAGAGAAAGAGATGAGCTCTTAATACAGAGGCTACCTATTTGAGTTTTGAAACTCAGAAGACAGGAGGAATAGAAAACAAATATTTCACAAATAAAATTGTTGGGGGAGAGAAATAGAAGCTCGAGAACTTGGGAAATAAATATTGATATTTTGAAAACAATTCATATTATAGAAGAGGAAGCGTTGGAGGTCTTAGAAAGCATAGAGTTGAATAAATGTCCAGAATCTGATATACTGTATTGAGGATATTGTAGGAAGTTAAGAAGGAAATTGCAGAAACCCTTGCAGTAATGTTTGTACCATCTATAACTACAGTGAGGTGCGGCATGACTGGAGGTAGTCTAATGTGCCTTTATTTTCAAGAAGGGATGTAAGGAGAAGCTTAGTAAGTATAGGCCTGTGAGTCTGAATTATGTGGTGGGTACATTGTTGGAGGTGATTCCAAAAGATACGATTCATATGTATGGGGTAGGTGGGGGTTTTCAAAGAATGGTTAGGGATAGTCAGCATGGTTTTGAGTGAGGGAAATTATATCTCAAAATTGATTGAATTTTTTGAGGTAGTAACCAAGATGATTGAGAGCAGAGTGGTAGACATTGTTTACTTGGACTTTAGTGAAGTGTAGGGGTGACCTGCATACAACAAAGTGGCCCCTGTTTGAACAAAGACACACAAGGACTAAACAAAATGGGGCGGTCTGCTCTAACATTTAAATTGAAACATACTAATACCTTGGAAGAGATCTGCCCAAGGTCGTAGAAAGGCCCTGCAACCCATCATCTGAGACAACAAGGTGTAGAGCTGGATGAACACAGCAGGCCAAGAAGCATCAAGACAGTTTTGATAAGAGGATGCCTAAGAACGGATAAATGACTCCAGTCTCATCAATGAAAGGATGTTGCTCCACTAGAGACATAGCATCAGGGGTCTAAATCTTAGCTTAGACTAACTCCCTGAACAGCTACAAAAAAGAACAACAGCGAAAGGTATTTCATAGCAGTTAGCTTCTTAAACTATAGTATTAAGAAAAAAAAGGTTCTATTTAAAGAATTATTTGACAATCACAGAAGTAGGTTTCAACATATAACCAGAATATAATACAAGCAGTTGAGGAAAACACATTTAAACCCATGTGAAAGTGAATCAGCTTTAGGACATGCCTTATCTTACATCGTAAACAAGACAGATTGATCCAATTCATTAGTGACAAAGTGCTAGTGGTAAAAGTAGCTGTAGAACTTTACACTTTAATTACTGTTATAAGATTAGAGCTAATCATGTAGCTGTTACTTAAAACTAACTGCCATATATATATCAGGATGGTGGGAAATATCAAATTTAATCAATCCTTTTAGAAAGGGGTCACACATAATACCACAAATAATAGGATTCAAACAGCTCTTCGAGATAAAGTCTCGGACAGACCAGGAGTATAGCTAATAACTTACAGAATGTGAATTAATAGGATGCATAGAAAGATCCCCAAGGCCCAGTGATGACAATGTCTAGTAAACACCATGAGATAATGAGAACCGAGGCTGTTCCTATGACCATGATTGATTTGGTGCCCCATGGGGTTAGGTGTTTGGATTAAGGTGAAGGACAGTGACTACTTTGCATTTGATTATTGTAACATGTAGTGTATAAAAACGCTGTAGTTCCTTGCAAAATCAAAGTGTGTCATTGATCTCTCTTCCGATCTGAGCTGTAGATTAAGGGAAAAATGCTTTCTCACATCGAGAACAGATTTGTGGAAGATCCTTTGGCCCTCTCCCTGCATTAACTGGTTTCTTCTTGAATAAACATCTTCCACTTGCCTGAATCCAGTCTGCATCCTGAGTATTTGTTTGTAGCCAGGGTTCGAGGTGGGGGGGTCGGGGAGTGTGGGAATGAGGAGGGTAAGCTCCTTCACAAAGTCTTTGACAATGTTCTTCACGGCAGATGAAATAATAGGGTAAGATTACATGGGACTTGGGGTGAGGCTGGAAATTGGATACAAAACTGGCTTGATGGCAGGAGATGGAGACAGCTTGGCAGTTGCTTTCTGGACCGGAGGCCTGTTACTAGTGGTGTTCCACTCCAACTTGTGTTGGGTCCACTTTTGTTTATCTTTTAAATAAATGATTCAGATGAGAATTTAGAAGGTATGGGTAGTCATTTTGAAGGGGTCACCAAAATTAGTGGCATAGTGGACAGTGAAGATGGTTATTGAAGACTACAAAGAGATCGTGATCAATTGGGTCAATGGCTTGAGGACAGGCAGATGGAGGTACTGAGGCATTGCATTTTTGAAAAACAGAGCGGCAGGTCTTGTACAGATACAAGTAGGGCCTTGGATAGTGTTGTAGAACAGAGAGAACTAATGGGTCAAGTATATAGTTCTTTAAAGTTTGCATCAGCTGTAGACCACGTGGCACCTGGCTTCATTACTCACTCCTTTTGAACACAGGACATTTTTGAGACTTTTACTGAAGCACTATATCAGGTTCTGGTCACCGTTAGGGAAGGATATTATTGCACTGGAGGAGCTTCAGAAAAGGTTTGACCAGGATGTTGAGATAACACAATATGGAGCTCGAGGAACACAACAGGCCAGGCAGCAGAGAAGCAGGAAAGTTGACTTTTTCAAAAAAAGGGTCCTGACCCGAAAAGTCAACTTTTCTGCTGCCTCGCCTACTGTGATCCACCAGCTCCACACTGTTATCTCGTACTTACTACTTGATGCATTGCGTCATTTTAGCTCTTCTCAAATGCAGTTACAGGAAATATGAAACTGGTTGTGAGCGAGGCACTGAGATGCATTTAT